GGATGGTAGAGCCAGCCCCCAGGGTGGTAGAGCCAGCCCCCAAGGTGGGAGGACGAGGGGGGTGTGGCACCAAGTTGGCCGAGGGTTGAGGATCATGAGGCTGGGGCGAAGACGAAGATGAATGGAGACACCATTTTTTTCCCCCGTGTGTTCTATGATCTCGACCTCCCCTTCTTCAGAACCTTCGTCGGCAGGTTCGTCGTCACCACCCTCTGACTCTGTACCGGTAGTACTACGAGCACCCTTGAGAACATAGGTCTCCTCCTTCTCTTCCTCCTCCTCCTCTTCCTCTGGGTCAGAGGGAGGCTCTTCTTCATCTTCATCTGACATCATTGTCTCTGACTACACAAGGAGACATGTGGTTAGGGGGTGTCATCACAAATAAGGAATACTAGCTAGGGGGAATGGGAGGACTCACATGTGCACTGGTTTGGGGTTTGTGTGGGGGACAAGATTGCTTGGCTGGTCGAATATGACCATCAGATTTTTTGGAAGCTATAGGACAAAAAAAAATTTCATGGTTAGAGAAAATAAAGAGAAACGAAAGGCAGGCCATATAAATACACAATGGGAAGAAGGCTTACATGCAGGGCGTTTGGCCGATGATGTGTTGGATGTTTGGGTGTGACCAGTGTTTCCCTTGCCACCATTACTCGAGGTTTGGCCATCGGGGCCCTCCCCTTGGGGCACATTGGTAAGGAGGCCATTGACGATGGTTTGAGGATTACAAGTGAAGAGCTTTAGGTCATCCAATGTTTTTGAGAGCACTCTCTTGAAAAGAGGAGTGGAGTATGGACTTGACTTGAAGGGTGTGAATGGAACGGAAGAGAGTAAAGAGGCATGTCATGCCTCAAGTTTCTTCACTTCCTTGTCTTGTAATGGATTTCTCTCGCCGGGGGTGTCAAGTTGGCGTGAGAACGGGTTCGACAAAGGCCACCCTTGAATCAAGCCAAATTGTCTTGCAACATAGTGAGGGTTGTAAGGCTCCACATAAGTTGCATTCTTTCCATTGGTTGGGTTGAGAAGGAGGTCTCGTGCTACCACCCAGGTGACCCATTGACTAGCAAATCTCTCGTAGTTTGTCTTAGGCTCTCCTTTAGCAGGGAATGCGGAGAAAGTCATGGAGAAAGAGGAAGGGCCCACAGCTCGACTAGCAAAGGGGGTAAATATGAAGCCCTTTTTTACGTTGTAGAATTGAGCAAAGTAGCTGTCAAAGCTGTGCATCAAAGAGGGAGCCTTCGCATAATACAAGCCATAAGAATGTGGCTTGGGGTCCATTTGGTCCAAGAGGGGAAGGTCACCACGTGTTGTTGGAAAATAAGCATAAATCCAAAGGAGCACTAACCATAGGGGACCGCTGCCAGTAGGGGTGACGCCCTTCTTGAGTTGATGAATGAGGGTGTGCATGCCGTGGTAGAGATGTGCCAAGATGATTTCCAGAAAATCAGCACGAGGAATCCCATCGGAAAGTTGGTACGAGATATGAGATAGAGACCTGCGGGGACATCCATGAGTCGGGCAGATAATGAACCTATATAGCCAGTAGTGGATGAAAGCCACCCTCTCCTTCTGGGTGATAGCTGCCCCTACATCAGCGGGCAAGTATTGCTGGTGCAAACTCGTGAAGGATTGCGGCAAAATAGGAGTTTGCTCAGCAAGGGGAGTGGGTTCTGTTGGTGCTTTGGTCCCTAAGGACAAACCAGTGAGGGCGGCTAAGTCCATTAGGGTGATAGTCATCGCACCCGGGGGAGGACAAAACAGTTGGAGCCTACCGACCAGAAGCACAAGGCAGCTTTGAATAGCTGAACATCTGGATCCGAAATCGCAGCACAAAGGGCCAATAGACGAGTAATGCCAGATGCCATCCACTGTGCCTTGGTGGTCGAGTCAGCCTTCAACCTCTTATACCACTTGAGGAAGATGGGATCACTATTTGGCCACTAGGACACTGGTTTCTTGCTTTTGGTTGGGCGAAAGAACATGGTAGGCGGTATTTCTTCTTCGAGGTAGAGAGGGAAGCTACCACCAAGTGGATACCGGTCAAGTGTAGCAGCAGAGAGGGTATTCTCATCAATGAGGTAAGGCCCAAGCCAACCCTCCCCATCTTTTTTCACTTCCAAAAAGTCCATCTTCAACCCTGGTTTCTTACATAACGCCACGTACTCCTTCTGGTATTTGCTAGTTGCTTTTTGTATCTCTTGCTTGTTTGGCTCGGAGTTAGCCATCCTGCAGCATTACGAGCTCGGGTTTAGGGGTGGTACTACGACTATGGGTGTACGAAAAAAATGGCCAATAATAATGACATGCAAGTATATGCGCATGAATGGCCATATATATGTATATTAAAAAAAAACACGTATGGTATATATATTTGGGCGGATATATATATATATATATATATATGGCAAAGGCTAGCGTACGCCCGGGCGTACCTTAGTCTACCGTACGCCCGTTGAGTTTTACTATTTAGATCATGAATTAACCGGAGTTTTTGGCATGATACTATACCTTAACCTCTAATGGATAAACCCCAGTCCATAATTTTCAAACCCAACTCATGAGTTTCATTTAATCTTAAAAAGTAAATCAACAATAATTTTGACAAATCAAGACCGTTGATTTTCATTTCAAGATTAAATGAATATTATGCTTTGGATTAGTGAATTACGGACTGGGGTTTATCCATTAGTGGTTAGGGTATAGTATCATGCCCAAAACTCCGGTTAATTCATTGTCTAAATAGCAAAACTCAACGGCCGTACGGTAGACTAAGGTACGCCCGGGCGTACGCTAACCTGAACCATATGTATATATATATATAAAAAGAGGGCAATATATATGGTGGCCATATATATACATGCTTGTTATACGTGTATATAAAAAAAACAAAAATATATAATATAATGAATAAAGAAAGGGTGGCCCGTGGCTGGCGGTCACTGTTACCTGGAGACGGTTGGGGAATGCAGCCACACTAAACTGGAAGGTGATTTTGGTTCACTAAGAGCTAATCTTTGGTGAATTGGAGGAATGGAGGTTGGCACTAGTTTCTATTTATAGAGCTATGAGCTAGTAAGTCTTTTCGGTTAAGGAAAAGATTTGATTTTGAGTTCTACTAGGAGAAGGAGATCAAGAGTCCTTGCCAAATATAGAAAGGATATATCCTCACTCTCCATGTTGTCAAAATAAATAAAATTATTTAAAAAAATTTCCTCTTGGCCTTTTGGCCGAAACTATCGAAGAAAGGGTTTAAAAAAAAAAAATAGCCTCGGTCGTTTGAGTTGGCTAAATCCAGGTGAAAAAAAAACGCAGAGCATTCAGGTCCAGCCATGATTATTAGTGGTGGTGTCGTAGTTTATGTGGCCTGGATGTAGGGATTAATTAGTTTAATACATGGCCAAGTTTTGCTTTTCAGTGACACCATGAGAGGAGACGAGCAGATTAGTGGCATTGGATTTAAATTGGGGGCCAACGAATTTTGCTCAAAGGAATATGGTGAATATATGTTGTTTTCGATGGGAGAGTTATGGATGGTGGTAACTACTTAGTCCATAATTCTTATGCACTAAGTAGTTTGGGGGCAATTGTTTACACCAAAAATTAACCTTGTACCACATCGGTTAAAAACAAGGGATTAAATGGCTTTATAAGGCCAACTTAATCATATCAGTTCAAATTAGTTAAGTGGGCCATGAAGATTGGGTTTTTGGGCCCATTACTCCGTGCCACCACGCGCGCCATGTATCTCCAAATTTGGCTAAGTATGGGAGCCACCCCCATGACACGCAGAGGGGGTGGGAGCTATACCACCACCCCCAGGACGTGGCAAGGGGGTGGGCACCATACCGCCACCCCCATGACCAGGTGAGGGGGGTTATGGCCGAATTTGGCTAAGGCAAGAAGAATGATAGCCAACCCCAGGAGGTACCAAAGGGACGTGGCAAGGGGGGTGGGCATCATACCGCCACCCCCAGGAGGTACCAAGGGGGGTGGCCATCATCATACCATCCCCAGGACGTGGCAAGGGGGGTGGGCATCATACCGCCACCCCCAGGAGGTACCAAGGGGGGTGGCCATCATCATACCACCCCCAGGACGTGGCATGGGGGTGGGCGTCATACCGCCACCCCCATGACATGGAAGATGATGAGGGTGGAAGGAGCACCCCCATGACCCCATATGTGGCGGCTCCCATGAGGATGATATAGTGGCGGGGGTGATCTATATGACCCCCATGGAGGATGCCCCCAATGGTATGGTGAAGGGGTCACCAATGTACACCCCCATGGTAGGGCCAAGGCAGGGGGTCATGTGTGAGGTGGTCTCTTTACTCTACTAATGGTGAAGTACTTTTTGCCATTTTTAACTACTGTTATTCAAATACCCACCCATATGTGGTAAGTGGTATTTCTTTATGCCTTAGCCATTTTTACTCTATGGATAAGCAAAACTACGAAGGAGATGCCAAGAGCATGAATTGAGGTCTCAAGAGGAGGGGTCAAGGCTGAAGAGAATCCAACATCCAACATCAGGGTAACCGTCATAGCACTTGAGTGGGTAACCGTCACTCCACGTCAGCAGAGCAGTTTCTTGGGGCTGTTACTTCTGGTGGCTATAAATAGGAGGTGAAGATGACAGAGAGAGGGGTCGCAAAAATCACAACTCGACACCACTTGTCAAGTTTTATCTTTTTATCTTTTCCTCTGCAGATTTTAGCCATAGTCGTAGTTTTTGGAGCTCTCACTGAACCTCCATAGGAGTAGGGCTAATTTAATGTAGATTTGCCTCGTAGTTCATCAAAACATTGAAGACCCTTGTTTGAAATTTGTTCAAAGAGGTGTGAACTGTGTTGTTTGATCGTTTGTTTGGAAGTCAAAGGTGCAAAATCCAATTCTCTTTCCTTTATTTTTCTCGCCGGGAAAACAGAGGGTAACTCCATGCACATCCTCACACAGAAGATGAGGAGTACCCTTATGCCGGCCCTCGACCGAGCGGCAAGGATGACGAAGAACGACGAGTTGGTAGACCTACAAGACGTGTTTAAGAGGTTCATGTTTGACAACATGTGTCTTCTGGTCTTGGAATTCGACCCTTATTACCTCCCCGCCGTGTAGTCCGACGACGGCAGGCTCCCTGATAGTGCATGTGGCAAGGCATTCGAAGTGCTGGAAGAGGTGGCGCTCTTCCGACACATAGTTCCAATGTGCGTGTGGAGGCTTCAACAACGACTTCAGATTGGAATGGAGTGGAAGTTCAGTCGAGCTTGGAGTACCCTTGATCAATTACTGTACGGTAGCATCAAGAGGAAGAAGCAAGAATTAGCGAGAATCAACAATGATGTGACTAAAAGAGACAAGTTGGATTTGTTGACACAAATCCTGGTCATGAAAGATGAGGATGACGGTGGTGACAAAAACATATCTATAAAACATCTGACAAGTTTCTGAGGGACACTACATTTACCTTAATTGCAGCCAGGAGAGACAGCATTACTGCGTGCCTTACTTGGTTGATATGGTGTGTGGCGAACCACCCCAATGTTGTAGAAAAGGATTCTCGAAGAGCTGAGACAAGTGATGACAACGCGAATGTCAGGCGCGACTGATGGTAAGAGGAAATATTTAAATATCTACATAGACACATTTTTTTTCCAGTCTTCTAGATATGTACTAAATGATATAAGTTAATTTGTGACAAACCAGGAGAAGAAAGAGGAGGATTCTTGAGAAACTACGAGTTGAACAAAGTTGTTTATCTTCATGCAACAGTCTGCGAGACACTGAGGTTGTATGCACCGGTTCCTTTCGAGCACAAGTGTGCTGTGGAGGCAGATGTCCTTCCAAGCGGGCACACAGTACGTAAAGAAGAGAGGATATTATTCTCCATATACACCATGGCCAGGATGGAAGAAATATGGGGAGAGGACTGCATGGAGTTCAAACCAGAGAGGTGGATTTCTGAGAAAGGAACGATGCTACATGTCCCGTCGTCCAAGTTCATGACCTTCTTGACTAGGTACTCTTGCAGTTATTCCACATCTTCTTTCACTCCTGATAGAGTGCAAGTTCTCTGTCTGTTTGTGTGTTTACTCTTTTGGTATTCAATATCAATCATGCATATACATATGGCCCTACACAGTACTGAAACTTCCTTCTAATGAAAATATATATATATAGCCATCTCAAATATTCACTCACAGGAAAAACCCATCGCTGGCCTGCAGTAGTAATTCAGTTTCCCGTTAGTAATCGGCAGCTAACTGGGCTCTACCTCCGGCAGGAGGCTGCAGCATTGAAGTTAATTTAATACGATCTTATATTGTGGCCGAAAGACCTTAATTATCAAAAAGACCGGTTGTTAAATATGTGTGTTCGTTTTCCAAAATTTAACAAACGAACAATTTCGTTAACTATCAAAGTTGCATCCCCATTGTTAATGTACCAATGTATCATAAAAGGTAACCAGTACTATTGCCACAATTGATTTTTTGGTTTCCGTATTTTGACCCTAACATCCGGAACTTTTTTTTCCACCAAGATATTGTCCGCTTTGCGTCTAGATGCTCACAAATTTTGTTTTGGGTGCATATCAAAGTGACTTCCCATAATGTCATCCATACTTGCAATGCTCCACGCTGTGCACGTTTAACTTCAAAGTTCATACAAGAACTCCTTCATTTCATCCAAAAACGCGTCTTGTCAGTTAAGATTGGTTTCTTACCTATGAACCATGGATCTCTCATGTACTTTGTTGATGTGGGATTCGCCTAAGGTGTTACATACACCCCCGGGACTCAACGTCCTTGTTCGGGTTTTTCCCTACCACCGTTCAAGAGGGACGCGATGAGGCTCTGATACGACTTATAACATCCCAACATATACCATTTGTATCATCCTGAACATTTTCTTGATCAAGATATTGTCCGCTTTTGACCTAGACTATCATGGATTGCCTTGGGGTGCATATCAAAGTGACTTCGCATAACGTCACCCATCTTTGCAGTGCTCCATGCTGAGCACGTTTAACGTCAGAGTTCATACAAGAACTCTTCAATTTCACCTCAAAACGCGTCTTGTTAGTCAATGAAGGAGCTAGGTTGAAGTCAGGAGGGGCTATAGCCCCCTCCCCCGTAAAGTGGGTAAAATTATATGTAAAATTCGTAACAAATTTAGAAAATAAAGTAGTCGGTGAGGCCTTAGCCCCCCATCTAGTAATCAAGATTCAAGGTTGCCCCACTTCATTCAAATTCCTACCTTACTTATGAACCATGAATCTCTCCCATATTTCGTCGATAAGATTTGCCTAACTTGTTATATTGACCCTACCAATATTATACGCGAAGAACATTGCTATACTTTAGGAATAACCCAACATTAAAAAAAGTTGGTCTCTGGACTCAACAGAGACTTTGCACAGAGGATAAAGGAAGTAGATCTCAGATGAATTCCAGTTATGGATCTAGTCGAGAGTGGAGATCCTATTTAGTAACTTATTAATCGTTTAGGTTCCATGTAACCATTTTTAATGATACATTGGTTGTTAATTAACATGTTAATCTAATACAATATGATATTATGGACGAAAGACCTTTTCGGATAGGCTGATTATTATATATGTTTATTTTCCAAAATTTAACACCAAAAAAGTTTGTTAAATCTGAAAGTTCAGTTCCCAACTTGTTAATATACTAGTGACGTACCATAGAATACTTCGTTGAATAAATTTGTCGACATGCATTTCAATTAGGTTAATATATCAATAACTAAAATCAATACATAAGAGCTAGAATATCATTGCCATTCATTCACTCACATGATCACTTATATATCAACATTGTAGTATCGTACGAATTTTGCATGTCTTTTCTATATTTATGAAGATTGGCAGAAGGCCGATAGCAGCTGGTTGGTTTTACTATTGCATTTTCTCCAAAAAAAAAAAGGTTTTACTATTGCCTGACAGCATTGATTATTTGGTTTCAATATTTTGACCCTACCAAAATCATAACTGAAAATTATTACCATAAATATTTTACCGTATCACATATATTCCTTTCGGAAATGGAAAGAAGACAGACGTATGTAGGGATCCCCATGCCTTATTGCTTCAACCATTCCATTACCCCGAATCCACCCTTCTCCAACATATTTCAGTACACTAGTACAGTTCCATCTTCATAAATTCTGACATGGTTAATAATTTTGCTGCTGGGGCCTGGGAGAATGGAGGTTCGTCTAATGCAACTGCACACCATGGTATATCATCCACTAACATGCAAGAGAACTACTATTTATTCCACGCTAGTCCCCAAACACCAACACATCGTCATCCTTACTATTACACAGGCAAAACCCTAGCTAGCTAAACTAGATTGCTGCCGAAACATGTCCACACAACTACTACTAACCTTCCTTTCCCTAGTCATCTTCCTATGCCACTGGCTCCACAGAAACAAGCACTCGCCCGTCTACCAATGGCCATTCCTGGGGATGCTCCCTGGCCACCTCTTGAGCTTATCCAACTACACACTCCACGACTTCTACATCAGAGCCTTGAGGCAAACCGGGGGAACGTTCCTTCTCAAGGGACCCAGTTTCGTCAAAGCCGACTTCATGGTCATGAGTGATCCCGTCAACATCAACCACATCTTCAACAAGAACGCGGCCAACTACGAGAAGGGCCGGGATTTCAAGGCCATAATGGAGCCTCTAGGCGACGGGATCTTCAATGTCGATGGCGACTCGTGGAAGTTCCAGAGGAGGCTCCTTCATTCTTTGCTAAAAAAACTCTGAGTTCGAGGGTCATGCCGTGCAGACCCTCGTAGAGAAGATGAGGAGCACCCTTTTGCCGGTCCTCGACCGGAACGAGGTGGTGGACCTACAGGACGTGTTCAAGAGGTTCATGTTTGACAACATGTGCCTGTTGGTTGTGGGATTCGATCCCCAATACCTCCCCGTGGGGTCCGAGGGCGGCAGGCTCCCTGACAATGCATGTGGCGAGGCGTTCGACGAGCTGGAGGAGGTGGCGGTCTACCGATTCATAGTTCCGATGTGCGTGTGGAGGCTTCAACACCGACTCAAGATCGGAATGGAGTGGAAGTGCATTCAAGCTTGGCGCACCGTAGATAACTTCTTGTATGGTAGCATCAAGAGGAAGAAGCAAGAATTAGCGTCGAAACACTCCTTTGGCAATGATGTGACTAAAAGAAACAAGTTGGATTTGTTGACACAAATCCTGGTCATGAAAGATGAGGGTGGCGGTGGTAACAAACCAATCATTGATAAAACATCGGACAAGTTTCTGAGGGACACTACATTAACGTTAGTCGCAGCCGGGAGAGACACCATTACTGTCGGCCTAACTTGGTTGATATGGTGTGTGGCGAACCACCCCGTTATTGAGAAAAGGATTCTCGAAGAGCTGAGGCAAGTGATGGCGGCGCGGCAGTCAAGTGATATTGATGGTAAGATAAAATATTTAAGTATAGACATATGCACATATTCTACCGTCTTTTAGATACTAAATGATAGAATTAATTTGTGGCAAACCAGGAGATGAAAGAAGCGGATTTTTGAGAAACGATGAGTTGAAAAAACTTGTGTATCTTCATGCAACCATTTATGAGACACTGAGGTTGTACCCACCGGTGCCATTGGAGCACAAGTGCGCCGTGGAGGAAGATGTCCTTCCAAGCGGGCACACGGTACGTAAAGAAGAGAGGATAATATTCTCCATATACGCCATGGCTAGGATGGAGGAGATATGGGGAGAGGATTGCATGGAGTTCAAACCAGAGAGGTGGATTTCCGAGAAAGGGACGATACTACATGTCACATCGTACAAGTTCATGACCTTCTTGGCTGGGGCAAGGACCTGTTTGGGAAAGAATATGGCAATCACGCAAGTCAAGTCTCTGGCAAGTGCTCTCCTTTGGAACTACAAATTTGAACTTATAGATGATGGGTCCTCCGGTAAGCCGACAGTTAGCATGGTGTTGTTCATGAAAGATGGGCTGAAGACTAGAGTCTCTGAGAGAGACCATTGAGAATAATATTGTTCATGTTGCTTTCTTAATGTATGTTCGTTGTGGTGGTCTACTCGAAGTGCTTCATCTATTTGTCACTATATCTAGGGTTTGCATTAATGAGTCGTGTGAGGTCTACTTCTTTTGATTATTTGTGTTGTCCATGTGTTTCATCCAACTACATTGGATGAACTAGCTATATATGTTCCCTATTGATGGTATGTATGTTCTTCTTGCGAGCAATGTAGTAAAAAACGAATTTCTAAGTATAAACATTTTGGTGATTTAGAAGCGTAAAATTATAAGTTTTTAAGTTTTAAAGCGAAGTTTTTAACTAGATAAGTTGTAAAAACTAAAATTTTGTATGGAATAGTTTTTTGTCATAAACGAGTTGGTCCCAATAACTCGAGTTATTGGGAGAAGGTTATGCTGGATCTTATACAGGCCCATGTATGGTACTTAACCACTTCCTTACACGCCCCCTCAAACGAAAGCCGACTCATGGGCTTGAAGTTTGCACAGGCCCGCCATACCATGTGCTTGAAAGACAACGATTAATTTGGGGGTCGTGAGGACTTGAACACGTGATTCAAGGACAAACCAGCTCTGATACCATGTCATAAACCAGTTGGTCTCAATAACTCAAGTTATTGAGAGAAGGTTATGCTGGATCTTATACAGGCTCATGTATGGTACTTAACCACTTCCTTACATTTTTAGCTAAATCTCACATAATAAATCATGGTCAATACAAAAATATCTTTCCTATTTTTACTTTGATAAATAAAATATAAGTATCATTGTCATAATATATATACCTCTTGGTCATACATACAACCATTGCCCGATAACTTCCTAAAGGCCAAAGTCTCTCCCATTCGCAAGAGTCTTCCTTTCCATTTTCCAACCACCCAAACAAAAAAGAGTCAAATATCCAGCCGACGACCGCAAATCATTCGACCACAAAATGTGTTGGATTTTTGGTATGGGAAGTGGGTATTTTTGCGAAGGAAGAAATGTAGGATAATTGTTTGGAAAACTTATTTTTGGAAATGGAGAATTGCGACAGAGCAAGAATGGAACAATGGAATCATTACCATTTTCTTGTGAAGGGTTTTTGACACCATTATACATGCCAATGTATGGTACTTAACCACTTCCTTACAGTTAGAGATTTCCGACAACTAATAGGTTGGAAATATTAATGAGTGTCATTATTAAAAAGGGTTATAGGTATAATATGCCCATCTACTATGACATTTTATCAAAATGCCCCTCTACTATTTTTTACATCAAACATGCCCCTGTACTTTGTAAAAGTATCAAACATGTCCTTTTGTTAAAAATTTCATCCAAAAACCGTTAACCAAGGCCGAACTTTAGTTTGGGCGACACAAATGACTAAAATATCCTTAATAAATTCACTTTAGAATTTTTTTGGTTCTTTTGTATAATCAAATCATTCAAATAATTCACTTTGAAAAGACTCAGGGAAATAAAATAGGGGACATAACTGACAGTTTTCCTCCCATTTGCCGATGTCGGGTTGTCTAAATTTCAATTCAACCATGATTGACGATTTTTTCAATGGAAATTTTAATAAAAGGGCACGTTTGATAATTTTTTCAAAGTACGGAGACATATTTGATGTAAAAAATAGTAGAAGAGCATGTTTGATAAAACGTCATTGTAGAGTGGCATATTATACCTATAACCCTATTAAAAATAAAAAAAGAGAAAGAAATCAGCAAGGTTGAGAACTGATATTCCATGTAAGGAAGGCTATAAATAGTCATTCCTGTAAGTTGTAAGCTGTGTGGAGAAAACCTCCCACCAATGAGGTGTGGTGAAACACCCACCAACCGGGACCAACTGGTTTATGACACTACCTAACAAATTTATCACCACTCCTTTTATCTATATTTTTTTTATTGTAATTTAATTATTTTGGTGGTTTCCAGAAATAACTTCAACTTTCAACAAATTGTTGGACGAGAAAGTAGTATAAGCATGAGCAACTGCGTCTTGATAACATCATAATCCGGATGAAGGCCTCTGAGGAAGCGAATCAAGTAGTCTGTCTCCTGTTTCCTCTTGAAAGCCTCCACTGCAGCACAAGCATTAGGATTACCCGGAGCACCCAACAAGGCACAATAGGTGAGAATTGCAAGTAATTCTCCCAAAGACCCTTGATGTCAGTGTAATATTGAGTGACGGTGCGATCTCCTTGTTTGCAGGCCTGGATCTAATCCTCTAAATTGATAATGCGCATGGCATTAGGTTGCCCAAATCGGCGCTTCAAATCTAATTCTCAAATCGGCGCTTCAATTGAAAAGATATGTCTACTAAACGTAGACGAGAGTTGAAGTGGACTTTAAAAGCCATAAACTTCTTCCTTACATTTGAATCAATTGACTCTGTGATAAAGAAATCTTTGTGAAACTTGAATAATAAATCAAATTGGTAGGATCATGATAGTAAACTATAAATGCTTAGGGTTCAAACTTCAAAGCATACTCATAAGTTACAAATGTATCATGGTAAAATCATAATACAAGTTGTTAGAAGTACTTCAATTTTTAGAGGCTTTGCCCTAGTTATGATAGACAAGTGGCAGAGGGATGGCAATATGTAAAATAGGAGGTTCCAGAATGTACTGCCCGTGTCCAAAATTGAAGCAAATAAAGATCATATTAAAGACGTTAAATATGACCATTGTTCTAGCACTCGTGATAGAGTGGCAACACAATCAAATTAAGCTTTTCGTGACTCAATTAGAAGCCTTGGAGCGCCCTACCTCCTTGACTTTTTAATGCATTGTTCAATTTCTAGATTTACAAAAGGCTAAAGAACAATTTCCTATCTAGACATATGTGGATCAATGGCGAGGATGCAAATATCATGTTTTTCCATAGCATGGTAAATAGCAGGAATTCAAGAAGCATTATAATCCAATTGATTGACGAATATGGGAATATACTCACATATGTGGAAGATATGGGAAATGAGGGTGTGAAGTTCTATCATGATCTCATGGGGAGTAAAAAATTCGAGGTTAAACAAGCAGCAGTTAAGCAACTCAGAATCTTCTAATACATTACCTCAATAATGAACTATTTAGCAGTGGAGCATGGTTTTGGGCAGTGCGAAATTGAAACGGATTGTCTGGGTTTTGTCCAGAAACTGAGAAGAGAGGGGAAGGTGATGACCGAAGAAGGAGTGCTCTGTGAAGAGCTTCGTGACCATCTGAGAGACCTGGGCTCTATCAATGTGGGCTTCTCGGGCCGAAACAGTAACAAATCAGCTCACCTAATGGCCCATACCACTTGTGAATGGGAAGAAGTAGAAGTGTAGACTACAAGCCCACCATCCTTTTTGGTTGCTCAGCTTTTAACAGATTCCTGTAATATTTCTGCTGCTTGATGAAATAATACAGGGTTTTCTATAAAAATAAAAAAATAATAATGAATATGTCTCAACTATGTGCTCTGTAGTCTTACGAGAAGAAGTCAGGAAACTAATTAATGTATGGAATGAAAAGAGAGAAAGCACCTGGATCATATGGATCTTCTAGGACAATTGGAAGCTTCTTCTTCATCTATCAGGTTTAAGATAAACTTTGGGGACAAAGTTCTTTTCATGGGGAGAATTGATGCATTTATGCATCTAGTGGCAGACATCATTATTCGCTTATTATTATTTAGATACTTCATATTAATTATTCGTGTATTATTACTGTTAGTTTGGGTTATTCGTATTAATTCTTGTTAAGGACTTTTATTAATAAATGTGTCTTGCTTAGGAAGTAATTGATCACTTATTGGTTTAGGATTTATACATAAATGATAACTCAAGTAATTAGTAGTACTTTAGAATAAAATAAAACATATGTTTAGTGTAAGTTAAAATATATGATTTGTGTTGGTTCAATTAACCGTGATGAAAGTCTTCGACACTAAATGGATTTCTATCCAAGAATGCTTCCTCGTGTCAATTCATATCTTTTTAGGTTGTATTTGACTTATAAGTGAATTGGGTGGTTCCACCGATGTTGTTGAGCTAGAAACACTGAAGGTAAGTTCTGATGGTAGACCTAGACTTTCTTTTTTCACCACCATAAGAACAAAATCTGCCATTAGAGATATGAATCGACCTCTTCTTCAATAGAACTTATGCTAAAACTGGAGGAAACTCCAATCTCCTGAATCAACCTCTTTTTCAATAGAACCGTACCTTGCTTCTAAAGTAAGGGTTCTGTGAGAGGTCTAAGGGAATACGATCTTGGACTTAGACCAAGATAAATTTGGTCTAAATACACAACATATCAAATTTTGGCGTCGTTGTCGGGGACATCTTGGAAACTTCGGCAAATGAAATGCAACACTTGTTTTGTTTCATGTTCCCTACTGCTCATGCACTCTGAATCGAATTGATGTTAGAAGCACCGAATTCCCTTTTTATTTTGGCGTCAGTGGCGTAAATTTTAGGAAAAGGTGACCTACGACAAGTCTTCAGCCCTTCCCCTACCTCGCAACCACTTGCTACACCTCAATGGGAATTACAGTGTCAGGAACCTAAGAGCCTAGAGCCATGAATAGTTGGGCAACATTCCAATTTGACATGCCCGCGACACGTCTCTACGAATGGGAAATAGCCGAACTTAGCAATCACTAAGGGATAAAGGATATAGTCATCTACAAATTTCAATGCATGAAATCTTTCTTTGGGTCTCCCCATGAGGATCCATTCAACTACCTCCAAAAGATCCAAGAACTATTTAGATCTAAATTGGAATTTGAAGCAGCATCTGAACATGGAATCCTAGGGCTTTTCCCAATACTTTAAAAGGTGGTGCCAAAAGATGGTTCAATAAGCTGCCATACGAATGTATCCTCACTTGGGAAGAGCTAGTCCGAAAGTCTTTCGCGACATATGTCGCACCATGAATCGATCATCTGCTAGCTCAACGAATATTGCACTTCAAGCAAGGGGACTTAGAACCTCTCGATGAATCGTGGAAGCGATTTTTTGTGTATATCAATGAGCACACCAACCATAAATTTGAACCCCGTCAACTCGAGCATATGTTTGCCGATAGATTGAATCATGAGACAAAGCAATTTCTGCACATTTTCTCTGGGGGTAAATATCTGGAAACCTACCAAAAACTAGACTATGGGGCAATTCGCATACGCCACTAAGCTATCCCTGAGGAGTAGTGCACTTACCCCTCCAGGAAAAAGCTATCCATCCCATGGGCAGTCCAACTAGTGGGAAAACAACGATCCTAGTAACAGAATTTTTGACTATCCGCAACGTG